AGTCTGCACTCGGCACAGCATCAGAGAACCCCCCCCCCCCAAAAAAAAAACAACTTTTCTTTTATACGGACACTGAGGACCGGGAACTTTGAGCAGCAGACGGCAGACATGAGCACTGTTTGTGCCTCATTGTGAGTTTTAAAGAAAGTCAGGCTGAGAAAAAAAGAAAACAAGGCTGCTTAGGATCCAGGCTAGCTGCTAACGCTAATGCTAATGCAAAAACACTGACCTTCCCACTGCCACCCTAGAGTAAGGTGTTCTACATATTGCACCTTTAAAATTTGGCTTTGCAAAAGAAAAAGTAAAATCCTTCAGTATGTTTGCAAGCCGTCAAAGGTACATGTGATGCATCTGAGGAATACTGACTAAAAATCCAAGGCGGTGCTTTTAACACTAACGAAAGGCGACTAAATGCAGACAGAAGACCACAAAAAGTGGCTAATCTCAAAAAATAGTTATTAGTTGTTCATTTATAAGATACAGGCTACGCTCACACGTACACGGATATTTTTGAAAACACAGATTTTTCTATGCGTTTGCCTTTCGTCCGCACGTAAACGGCGTTTTCGGTCACTGAAAACTGAGATTTTTAAAAACACCTGCCAGGGTGGATATTTTCGAAAACTGTGCGCCATGTTTTTGTTTCGGTGAAATGAATTTCTGCCATGGTGGACTTGGACAAAATACTGTTACTGTTAATTTTACTCTCTGTAGTGTTTAAACGCTAACATATACACACACAGTTACTGTCCCTACACACATAGGACTCAGTTCTGCTTCTATGCGCCATCTTTGTTTACTCTTTCCCACCCAGGCTTCTAGACTTCTGATTGGCCAACATTTCTACATGGTTAGGAATATATCGCCACCTGTTGCTTTGGCATGTTCCTAGCAGCGTTTTCCTTCAATTTTGCATTTACGTGTGGACAGGATTTTTTTTTTAAAACAAAAACGGAAAATCTCCGTTTTCAAAAATACCCGTATACGTGTGGATGTAGCCACAATGTAGCTGAGATGAAAACAGCAAGACCTTTTTGTCCATCAGTCATCATTGGGGGGAGATGAGGTTATCATGGGGCGACCTAACTGGACAACAGTAGCTGCAGCTGGGCGTGGCTTCACCCTGCTGAGTGCAAATGCGTTTGCTGCTCGGCATGGCTGAAGCACACTAAGTAGGGCTTTTAAAGCATTAGTTGGCTGAATGGACTTCTCTTCAAGTTCTGTAGAGCTAAATATGCTTTGAATGCGCGCACAGGCCAAATTTATCCAATTACAGCATACAGTCTGGGCCACAAGCCCAGAATTATGAACCCGACAAACTGCAATTAGCCAAGACCAAGAATGAGGCATCGTGCTCTAATGATACATGAAACATGTCGTTACATTTATTATTAAAGTGATAAAAGTAATGACATGCTTTAGATATCAGGTCATACTGTCCAGCCCTACCATTAGCTGTAAGTCAGTCCTGTCCTAACAGGTGCAAACGCACAACTCGGAGTCTGTACACGCCAACACAGTCCTGAGAAGATGCCTGATCGGCAAAACAAAATTAATAAAAACAGCCGTGTGGGTGGACCAGGGATGAACTGCCCTGCATAAATGTTGAAACTGCAATATTACTTCTAAATTTATCTAATTGCTGAATGCTTGGGACTTGTGTAGGAGTCCGGTGTGAGGCTGCTGACAACAAACATGTTTACAGATAAACAGGTTTCATATACATGTCAAAAATCTGGAAAAACTTTAGTCTCGTTTGGGTTTCTTAAGCCAATCATAGCACAGAGGTTAAAGACAAAAACACAAACATTCAACATTATCTCAAAGACATCAGTATCCGACACAGGATCCGTGTCGTTTGAACCATCAAGCAGAAGAAGATCACAGTGGGCTGACTGGGCATGCAGAGCTCACATCTTCTTTACAAGCTCAGTGTCTTTCTTAAAAAAGGGAAAAAAAAACTTCAAAGTGACAACTCGCTCTTTAATGGTCTGAACCCATCATCCCACAGTTCCTCTGCCGTCTGCATTAACCACTGCACCGCCCTGTCACCCACGGCCAAAGAAAGAAAGTGGCGACAAACCGTCCCCGGTGAGTTACAGTTTACAGATTTACCTTGGCTGCACAGATTTTACATTCATTTATAGAAAACAAAACAAACAATCTTTATGAAATTATTACTGCAGTACAGTCGAAGCAGTTGTACACCACACTCGTATGGAGAGAGTCAATGCAACAAAATCATATTTGCAATGATGAAAACGACTGCCGTTGTAGGTTTTGTCACTGGAGAGTACAGTAAAGCGATTGAGCATCGTGAACAGCTAGTGTTTTATGTTAAACAGAAACAGGCCTGCTGCGGAGTGAAAACGTTAACCTGCAGAGAAATCAAAAACGCAAAGGTGCTGGCAGATCTCAGAGCTGCTGACGCTGCAGAGGAAAGACAGATGTAGTTCATGTGCCGTTCAGGCATTTTAGTGTTGGGAGCACATCGCCACCTTTGATGGCGGTTAATTGGAGTTTGCGAGCCGCGTGTCTGTCGTGTCTCTGCCACACTTTTGCCTCACAGGTTATTGTAAAGTCTCACTTTTAAGCCAAATCTCACACAAAGCGTAATTTTCTTCTTCCAATGGCCAACATAGCACGTTTTATCAGAGTTTCTTGAACTGAACTCCACCTTCAAATGGTTGGAGGTGAAAGAACTCCTTCATTCTGAGACAGGGTGGTAGGTGTTTTCAAAGGGACTGAAAAAGTACTAAATAAAAATACTCTGTGGAACTCAGAAGGACTCTTTGTGATCATCACATTCATGTAATAATAGTTGGTTATTACCAAAACACCCTACAACATCCAGAGGCTCAGCTTAATATAAATAATAATAATTAATATAAAAACAACCCAACAAAACATCAAACTACCCATGTTGGGTAAAAAAAACAAACCCTTTATTCTAGCAGAGGAAAATTGATAAAGACTGCAGGTGAAGCACTTTGATTCCTCAAAGCACGAGCACGAACGGAGCCGCTTCTCCGCGCCGTGACGCTCGCCAAGCGGAGTCGCGAGCGCACGCGGCACTCTATAATTACAGAATGTCAGCTTTGTTCATGCTTTCTGTTCTGACCTTTTCCCAGTGCTAAAAGTGTGCCCTTTAACCAGGCGGTGTGAAGTTCTAGTATGCTGCGCACATGTGAGAGCCAGGAACTAAACACAACGAGCTCTTTAGGGTAGAATGCAAACTATTAAATTGTTCTATTGCTGCACTTCCCAGAGAGCGGGAAGTTTACAACCTTACGAGACTGCAGGAGACGCACCATATTTCCTATAGGTTGATACACCAACAAATGTGTCGAAGGCCTAAAAGTGCTGCAGTGTACAACTTATATCCTGTAAATGTGAACAATAAGATACATATATAGCTACATGCAAAATTGAACAAAGAAAGAAAAACTAAAGCAAAAAATGGCACAAACCCAAATTTGATGCTTTAGTTGTGACATCTCTGTTTTCATCTACCAATCTCAGTTTTTCTGTGTTTGCCTTGAGGTTTTATATTCTGCATTTTCCCTCATTTTCCCACTTGAAGTAATGCTACTTTAAAAGCAGGACCGATATTTTAGATGTAGACTGTAGACAAGTGCAGGGAAAAGCAGCTGAGGGACCAGACGACAACATAAGAGACAATTTTTTTCTTTCAGAATAAATAACCAGGGTCTTCTGTGACATGGAGGCCAATTCAAAAGTCCATTTTAAAAAAACGATGCTCTTAAAGAAACAGGCACTGACTCATGCATTCTGGCTGCTAACAAAAGTAAAAAACACTGCACTTTACCATTTAAACGCTGGGGTTTAGCAGCTCCACTGTAGCCGCATTGATAAGGGCACAGACGTCGCTGCTGTATGGGCTAATTGGGCGGTTGTAGATAGATCACAGATGTGGAACAATCGCAATCGAATGGCACAATAAGAGCGGCGGAGATGCTGCTATCCCGGGGGTAGGAGGGATGCATTGCATTTTGGGAAATGAGAGCAGTAATTAGAAGGTATGGATTTCTTAGGCAACAGTCTCAGAGCTCAACAGTTGCCCTGGCAGCGGTCACTAACATCAGCCAAATCACTTCAGTCAGAGTCACGTGATCTATAGGAAGCCTGTGTCACAATGGTTTCGAGGACAATTTTTAATTGCCAGAGGTCCCCCCCCACCCCACCACTACTACTAGCTCTGTGTGTGTGAGTGAGCTTTGCATGCTGCCATTGGCTTTCATTAGAACTGGAAGAGTAATTAGCTGGAAAAGTTTCAATTGCACTGGCGATCCAGCAGCCAGCCGGCCAGCACGGGTGAGGCATTGCAGCGGTCTTGCATTGCAGCGGTCTTGCATTGCAGCGGTCTTGCATTGCAGCGGTCTTGCCTTGTGCGGCGGACGGCTCGGCAGCCAAATGGCCAAAGACAGAGAGACGAAGCTCCAGACAGGCCGCAAGAGTGGGCAGCGGGAGAAGACACATAGGCCGATTGAAATGTCACACACTCTTTAAATGGGCTCTGGCTACACAGGCAACCTCCTACAGTGGATCCTCATTAAAGGAAGACTGAACATGCTGTTAGCTTGCTCGGAGGCCAAACTGTGCAGGACTCCAGTGACAACAGCCCTCAGTGCTGAGCTGTGAACATGACAGCAGGTGACAATGGGCTACAAATGGGTACAAGGGCTTGCTGAAGTGTGTGTTATGCGTTTTTGTGTGTGCATGTCCAACTGAGCGTGTCCAGTTTTGTTTCTGCCTCTGAAATAACACAATACAAAAGAAAGAACAACAATAACTTAAATAAAATGCGAACATAGACGGTCGCAAAGTCTCTGGATTTTTTTTGTTTTGTTTTTTGTTTTGTCAAAAACTACGAGACAAGGATCTCTTCTAGCAGCAAGCCGTGGCCGCCTCGACTAACGAGGTGGTGTCGACAAATGTAAAATGTTTCACTGAGGGGGAGGAGGGGGAGGGGAGGGGTCAGCACCTGCTCTGTCCCTTCCTTCCTTCCTCCCTCCCTCCCTCCCCCCTCTCTGTGTCTAGTTTCTGTCGATCAGTTCGAGGGGACTCCAAGCATCAAAGTTCCTGTAGGAGGACAGGAAGGGGGAGACCTCTGAGGCTGCAGTCTGCCAGATGTCTCGGCCCCCTTCACCAAAACGTTCAAGTCCTGCGTCCCAGCATGCACCTCTCCCTGCCAGAGCGGAGCTGGTGGGAGTCTCTGAAGGATGGGGCTGAGGCGAGGGGAGGGTGGGGGAGGCTGATGGGAGAGCTTTTGGTGTTGGGATGGTAGAAGAGGACAGGGGATGCAGTCAGATGCAGGTGGATGGCTGTGCTGTGGGCTGCTGTTTACGGTTCCTCAGTCCGCCAGACTTCTCCTTGTACCCCACACACATCTGCTGAGATACATCGACCAGCGCGCTGGCCACGGCCAAACCTGCGCACACAGGAGGACTCGTTTAGTTAAAGTAAAAGATATAAAACTACAAACATGAATTACTTTTATTACGCTTTTCCTTATTTTCTGTCATATCAACCTGTGAACTTTGTATAACATATAAAACATGTCCAAAGTTTCAAACATGTGCAAATAATCACACTGCTCCACAAAAGACAAGGTACGATCTACTATGATCAGGGGTGCACATGAGTGGTCCACAGGTGTGCATGCGACATGTGCGCCCCTGAATATGATCACCTCAAGCACAGAGCTTTGTTTTTCTTTTTTTTTGCGAGAGGCAGCCAATCAGAAGACAACTTTAAAAAACCTAAAAAACACAGTGTGACCTTTAAGACAGAGGATAAACTGCGATGTTAGCACTTTTAACCTCCAAGAATACAAATGTGGAGCTGGGAATGAGGATAAATGATCAAGTTTAAAGTAGAAACTGACCCATAAATAAGGAAATCGATGCATATAAGTTAAATTAGATGGAGAGAAGTTAAATGCTAAAATGGCGAGGAGATCGTTTATAATTAAGGAAAAAAATTAAGACACTGAAATGTATGCACTGGTAACAGTCTCAAAAACCCAGCATTAATTAGGCTACACTTGCAATATGAGGCTAACTCTGAATGCAGTAACTGTAATGTGGGGAAAGCTGCTGATGTGTGGAAAGCAAAACACACAACTGCCAACTCACAACCGCGTACACAAACGTGCAGAGCTGGCAATCATTAACTTACACCACACTTCATCAACATTTAATAACATTCTCTGAGCCATGAAATACCAGTAAACTCCATTTATCACCAATATTAGACGCATTTATTGCAATCAAGTAAACACTGAAGGCATAAAAAAGAGAAAACGGCTGCGCTAGGGGTCGCGTGCTGAGAAATCATACAGATACTACTAGTTTCTTATTGGTTGAAAAAGAGAAAAAAAAGCAGGATGGCTCAAATCACCTAAACGAGCCGAAGATAGAAATCAGTGATAATCTGTGGTGGTGATATCCTTTTGGTTGCTATGAAATGAGCTAAAGAGTGCTGTGAGGCTGGGATGCTGAAAAACTGAAAGCAGTTTAAAGATCTGAAAGCAACACGGCTGGATGGGGAGCAAGTTAAAAGCATTATAACGGTAGACCCCCCCCTCAGGGCACGAGGAGATGGGAGGAACACGGCTAACATGGTCTCAACAAAAGCTGCCCGAGGGAAAGCTCCATCGAGAGCCGCGGCAGTTTTGTTATGACAAAAGGACAATGTGGTAATTAATAAGGGCCTTAGGCATGCTGATGGTCTGGGGATTGCAACTGTGGGAGGCAAAGAGCTATACAACACAGAGGAGGAAAAAAATACTGAAAGAAAGGCGAGTTGAATTATTGAGACAGTAAAAGAAAGAGAGCAGGAAACAAAAACTAAGAAAAGGTAAGGGAAGCAGCACTTGGGTCTTATCAGAGGATCTTGAAAAGAAAGATAAGGAAAACAGATGAAGCATGGGTGGGAATGTGAAGACAGCAAGTGACAGAGCAGAGGATGAAAGAAAGTAATGGACTCAATTCTCAGTGCAGTCAGAAGTTGGGCAAAAAAAAGGAGGAGGAAGGGAAAGAAGGGAGCAGAGGGAAACAGGAAAAACACTAGATTGCACTTTAAAGCAACGAGGATGAGAAGAGGATAGAGAGGAATCAAGCACAGAATGAGTCTGCATGGATATAGCTGCAGTATGCTTCCTAACACACCAAGTAGATGAAGGTAGGAAAGCAACAAGCAGTCTTCATTTCGCCACAGGTAGAGAAAAAAGGAGGGAGTGAAGAGCAGTAACTGAGGAAAACCAGGAATCACACTGCTGCTTTCAAGCTGCAGCGTTTTTAAAAATGAATACATCCACATCAAAACGATGGTGCTACATGAAGTAATTACTGTAAACATGTTAGACCACTGTCGAGATGGATGTGCATGATTTTGCTGAGACTAAAAATCACGCAATCCCCAAGTAGCACTCAGAGGTGTGGTTGGTTCTGCGAGTAATTTACAACTGTTGTGCTGTTTTCCAAACACAGGCACAGTCAGCTGATGTCCAAAAACAGGCAGTTAGTGAGGTCGGGTTAATTGGTGATCCTAAATTGCACATAGGTGTGAATGAGAGTGCGAATGCCCTGTGAGAGGCTGGCGACTGGTCCAAAGTGCACGCAGCTGAATTTGAGTAGGTCCACCACTAAAATCAGTCATGTGGTCAAGTAGAGCTCATGAGATCACTGTGAAACCTTGAGTGCTCTCCATGGTCCTGAAATCACAACGGTTCAATTTGAGTGTAATTAAATTTAAGGTTTAACGTAAAGGTATTGCCCAGACTGACGTCCATCCAAGGCCTGATTATTTTCAGGATGGGGTCCAAAATCCACATCGTGATCCCTCCGTTCTCTCCTTTCTCCAACTGCTAAAAACTAAAGAGTGGCTGGAAGGTTTTGCTGCCGCAAGTGAGCTAATACAGGGCGCAATACATGCTTTTTTCCAGCGTTAAATATCAGTGCAAATAGCACGTCACAAATCAGTTTGCACGCTTGATTTAAATATTCTCTCCTTCCTATATTTTGAAAAAGGAACCGAGAAATCTCTAAATTCCTAATTTTTATGTCATCTTCTCACTGTGCTCTGTTTCTAAATGCTGATAGTGCTTTTTTACCTCCCACCAAAACCCAAATCTGGTCCTTGCATCCTAATTTTTTTTAAATTTAAATATATAGGCCTGGGGGAAAAAAATAGATGCGTGAGCTCTCAATTATTTTTTTATCCATGTATATTAAATGCATTAACTTGGAAGCATTTTGCAGGTTTATCCTGTACAAATATTAAATAAAAATGTAACTAATCTATAGATTAAGAATCAAGATCACCAGTTTCATTTTCTTAAAACTGGAGCTGGTGTGTGTGCGTATACACTGGAGGCTGGATCATAAAGTCAGTGTTGGATAACAAAAGAAAGAGGAAGTGAGCCACGTTGAAAAAAGACTGAAAGGCTCAAAATTGTCATGGACCGACTAAGACCAAAGCTACAGTACATTACAGAGGGGGGAGGAAGTCAGATCAAGGAAAGATGATGTAAAAAAGTGAGGCTCAATCAAACAAACAAGTCAGGAAAGAAAAACAAGTGAAGGATTTTAAAGGCTGCGTCTTACCAGACTGTCCTGGAGGAGGGATTCCGCCGGTGCCCCTGGGTAACCGTACAAAGATGGAGAGCACGGCGGCTTTGTTGCCAAAGCAAGGCTCGAGGGCGATGGGTTTTGGGACGGACTGTGGAAAGAAAATGGGAAAAGAAGAAAAAAGTATACATCACAAGGCTCTCAAATCCTGGTGAACACACACCATTTTCAAAGCCGTGGATAACAGAGGCTTTACTGTTACTGTTCTTGTTTGTGTCAGCAACATGCACAGAAACACAAAAAACCCACCTTTCTATCCCGTGCTGAGATGCAACTACTGATCTGCAGGCACAAATTGCCCACCCCTCCAACCTTCAAAATCCCCAACTGAGCACAATTTCATGACAATGCCGCATGTGTGCAGCGTTGGCAATGAGTGGCTATCAAGCGAAGACGCCTGAATGGAGATTTGGGTCGGCGGTGCGCTCCGGTCGCTGCAGGCCGTCTGACACGCCTGACTCTCTAATACCAATATCTCCTTTTTATCAGCGACTCATCCATATGTGGGGGATGAGTCCCCCCCCCCTCTACCCTGTAAACACTGTCTGGATCTGCTGCTGATGCTAGCCTCGTACAATATTTATAGTTTTACCTCGACAGAGGATATGGATATGGAGAATGCCACCATCTTGCCTGCATACAGATAACTTCCTGTGTCTCTCTGGCTTTGTGTTTTGAATTCCTGAGCCGGACAAGAAAAATTGGGCCATGGCATGGCTTCACACACTACTGACACTGCCTCTCAATGTGCTCAAACACAAAACCTTCCAAAACAGACAAGTTGAGATCCTTCCCATGGCAGTCTTTATACTCTGGAGAGTTGAGTTTAACTCCCCGAGTGGGAATGCAGCTAAAGTGACACACGCACGCACATACAGCACTAGGCACACACTCTTTTCGCCTTTTCACTCACAAATTCATCACAGCTTGTCTCTCTCACACATACAGATACACACACACACACACACACACACACACACACACACACACACACACACACACACACACACACAGTAAGTATACACATGGGGAGCAGGGCAGTAATGATATTCAGGCTCTGACCCATTTTACACATTTATTCTCTGCTCCGTCTCTCTGAGGCTTACCTTTCATACCAGCAGGATACACAGGCTGTCTCGCAGGTAGCTAGGGAAGTGGCACAAAGACCTGGATGCCTCTGGGTGTCTGTATGTATGTGTGTGTCTGAGTAGGGATTCAGTTCAGCTGGTGCTGTAACAGAAGGGAGTCTGTATTTGTTTATGCCCGCACACATGTGTGTCTGTCTGTTTATGGCACGTGTGCTTTCGGAGGTGTGCCTGTGCAACTGGCCGTGCTCAGGTACAACCTGACAGAGAAGGGCATTTTATGCCCAGTTATGTGCACTGTATACAGTACGCCTTAGTGGATACCATCATGCCTTCCAGACACTCAATAAATGTGCTGGTGATTTTACACGTCGGCCTCATGCATGGATAAACCATCATATCAGTTTTTCTCTAAAAGCAATGACTGCAATTTGACTGGGTAGGACACTCTGGCACTCCCGTAACATTTTCACACAGCTGTACCCTCTTATGGGAGATGTCCCAAGACAGGGTTCTTGCACGCAAGAGATCGCAATGCTTCGCAGCACTGGACGCTTGATGGACAGGCCACTAGGGCGGTGTCGTAACAGATAATCGACAGGGCCTATCTCTCTTCTACGGCCTCGTGCAACCATGCAAATGCAAACCATGCTCCTAGATTTTGGGCAAAAACCAACATGGCGGCCTGCTGGCAAACTTTCTCTTACATTTAACAGTCATTTTTACTATTTTTGTCCAGCAAAATGCACCTCTAAAAATAACACCATTTAATGCAAGAAATAAGTTAGTATTCCAAGATGCATTCAGCCAAAGCCTATGTTCATATAACAACTGGCTAAACAGAAAAACTGGCTTTACACTTTGCGCTGCGTGTGCATAACACCAATGTGTGTGTATATAAGAGCTCGCAACACTTTCTCCTCTCACATTTACACACACACAGCATTAAAGCCCTTCCTGAGAACTGACGGGGTGTTGGCGTGTCACCCTCTGGAAACACTGCAGTCGAACCAGCAGCAGCAAATAAATTCCCAGACACTAAAGCTGTGGCCTGCTTCTCAACTCTGACACGCAATAAATAAATTACTGTAACAGTGGCACGGCTTTGAGAAATTAATCTGACTAATGTAGACAAAGAGGCCCAAAGATAATAGGATGGGTCACTGCTTTGTTTTGCATTCTCTTCTCCTTCAGCCTCCTTCTTCACCTCCACCCCACTCTTGTAAAGATATTTTTAAAAGGCTAAAATCACGGAGAGTTTATGCTTTACAATCCATATAGAGTGCCACAGCGTCTCCTTCATGACCTCTGACCCAGACAAGGGAAAACTTCACAACAGCTTATCACGGAGAAGACAGAGCTCCTTCTTCCATGTAATGTTCTCTATTAAAAAGGGGAAAAAAACACTCTTTCTTCACTCTTCCTTGTTTTTGCCATTTGTTTGTCTTTTGAATCGCTTGCCTCGGTGGTGCTCACTGTCACATTTCAACATCAACCCCAAGTTGTAAAAGAACGTGTAAACATGTAAAAATGCTGAAAAATCTCACAAAAGACAAGCAAAGTTTTTTTGGGAGACGATAATGTGACGTAACAGCAGTAGAAGTGACAAGGTAACAGCTAATAACAAAAATCTACTGTAGCATATAACATGTAGTATTATATGAATAGAAACATATGACCTGCGCTTACTCTCTCTCTGCTTTTTTAAACACGTCTCAGTGCAATGCTTTGCATGTTTTGGTTTATGCCACTTTCACAGCTGTTCAGTGACGCTATTGTCTCCCCAAAACTACTGTAGTGTTTTTGTTTTATGTACTTTGTGTTTTATCCAACTCCCTGTGTTTTATTCATCTTTTGTGTATCTTTAACGTTGTCTTTGTGTTTTATTCCATTTCTGTTGTTTACTGGTGTTTTCTGTGTGTTTGACATCTGAGGGCTACCACAGCTATCACATAACGCAGCCCTTTTATATGTTTGCATTTAATAAGACTAAAGGATTTTTCTAAATGCCTCACTAAACGTGAAAAATGATTTCCGAAACTCTTAAACAGTCTTGCCTCCCAACATCTGTGGTTACTGGGGAAACTGTAAGTGTGCTACGCTTCATCCCATGTGAGACACGAGGCTGCTAAACTCTGCAAGCTGTCAAGTTTCTGACACTTGTGTCTGAAATGACACGTATGAACCAATCAGTTTATCTTCAAGGAATTCCCCTTACACATATTACACTATTTATAGGCACAGCTCTTTCTCTCTTTCCTTTCAGTGAGTTCACGAAAACAGAGGCTGAGCAAGAACAGAAAAAAGCACGAGTCCTTCTCTAAGAGTGGATTTCAAAGGCAGATGAATTCACAGCACAGATATCATGTTTAATGCATGTGTATGATGACCTTGTCAGCTAGTGTTCTGATTTTTGAAATAAATAAATAAAAATCAGGTCTGACTTTGATTACTATCAATTCTCTGGAGCACCTCAAACACTGTATACTGTATAGAAACAGAAAATATCCAATTAAGGTTTTTACAGAGAATGAAAAAAATAGATTTAAATGAACTACACATTAATTTACTTTTTGTGAAGGTTGCTGTGGGACGCAGTCAGAGGTGTCTATAGCGCTCCAAAGGCACTTTAGAAAAGCAAAATTAAAGACTCACAAGAGAGGTGGCAGAGAACCAGATAAAAGCATCCTATTTTTCATTTGATTAAAGTAAAAGCCAATATTTTCCCCCAAGGCAACAAAGAGAAGAAGAAAAAAAAACAACCTTAATATCCCTTACAGCTTTGTGTGATAAATGAGTGATGACTCAATAACGAGATAAGACAACAAAGCACTCACTATAAGGATCATTTCTTCCCATTTTCAAAATCACGGTGCCAGAACATCATTATATTCTGCTGACACGGATTGCTAAAAAAAATGGGAATAAAAATACCGACAACTGACAACCACTACAACATAAGGTAGAGCAATACCACACTTGGCTAAGTTTGCTCCTCGATGCCTTGGTACAAGAAAAGATGAAACAATTATTTTGGCCTTGCCAGAAGCACTTCAACTAGGCTGGGTTTGCTCCAGTCCACGGGCCTGTTTTTGCCTCGGGCAGAATGGATTTCTCATCCAATATTTTTATAACTGAAAAATAAGTGGCGCCGTGATGACTCGAGCACATCTGTATTCTGTGTACAAATAAATAAACAAAAAAAAAAAAGAAAGAAAAAGACTGGCAGCTTTTAATTTCACAGCTTAGAGTCCAAGTCCAATTTCCACCGCAGCAGCTGCAAGCTGCTCTTAGGTTGTGACTTGTTTTCGTGTCGTTTCTCATTTTATAACACCGGTATCTCATATTCAGACCGAAGAGGGAGCAGGCACTGCGAATAAGTGTGGTATTGGAAGAGACTCGCTATCAGACTGATGTGAGATGTGACAATGGGATCATTTTGATTTCAACAGGCCTTGTTGCATTGTCAATTGCGGTGTTCATCAGCACTGCATCCAGTGTACAACCTCAATTTCAACTTGATGCTACTAGGCAGGTGCTTCACTTTCTATTTTTGAGAAAAACAAAACAGGAAAAACCAAAAACCCCAAAACAAACAAACACACCTAATTTATCTTCCACAACATACATTTTATTTTGTCCTATGCAGAAATTAAGGGATGGGGGGGATCAAAAAAACAACACCTTGAAAAATTCAATTATCCATCCTTTCAAACTCTTTGAGCGTGCTTTGTCTTTGCCTAAGATGTTCCCCGAAGGAGGTGTCTTTTTCTGTGGTCTTCTTCAGAAGCTGCATGTTAATAACATTCCCCAGCAGATGCCTTTGTTATATGGTGTTGAAGCGCTCTCCACCCAACTCCGCCGGCTCCCCCTTGCTCAACCTCCCTCACCAGCCGCCACTCTGGAGAGTTATCTAGAGTGGCCAGGCAGAGCGGCAAAAGGTTTTGTTAAATTACCTCCAGTAATTAGCCCAGTAGGAAGAATTGCCCACACACACACACACAAAAACACACATACGTGCACATTGATGTGGGCATACAAAGCAACCGCATGCTGCTCCGCTTTCATCCACTGCATTCGTTTCTACTTTAGCAGCAGCCAGGGGATAGTTTTCCCCTAGCAGCAACAAGAGCAAGCCAGTCTCCCTGTTGTGGTGACTCACCAGGTACAGCCGCACCACTGAGCCAACTTTGAGTTTTTAGTGAGTTGGTTTCTTTCCCCCAAAAATCATTTGGCACCCTGTAATGGCAACATATGGTGATGGATTTGAACTAAATCCTCCAGAGAAGTTTATATATAAGTGCAGTACTGTGCAAAAGCCTCCAACCACACATATTTCTTTATGTTTTGCTGGGCAAATAGGCAATATGTGCAGCAATTTATTCAAATATGCAATTATAAATGGAAAAAGCATGCAAGTATACTAATTAAAAGTACCTGCCCCGTTCCCAATGTAACATTTACATGTTTTCAAATCACCAAACTGGTTTTAATATTAGACCACGATGAAAATGAGTAAATACAAAACAATCTTGATGGACATTCAAAGCCCTTCTTTGAACTTTGGATGCCTTTTGTTCGGTTCTCTGTCAAGTTGATCCCACTGAGCTTCAAAAATGTTCAAGTACAATCCGTGACTGATAATGTTCCAAAAAATGCTTTTACTGCACTTACAGTCAGATCATTGTCATCCAGAAAAATAAATATTGCTTGGTGGAGCCAATTTGGATGTTTTTTTTCAGCATTCATAACTCAAAAAGATTCCCAGCATCCCCGGCTGAAATGCAGCCCCAAACCATGATACAGCCTCCACTGTGTTTTACAGATGGCTGTAGACACTCGCTGCTGACCTCCTCCATACATACATGAACCAAGATTAAATTTGGATTAAATTTGAATTTGAACCAAAACATGCAAGTATAGGATCTGTTGCCACTAATTTTCAGTCCAGTTCTTGTCTAATTTAGAGGGTTTTTTTCACTGAAGCGTATGTGCAGTAATGCCAACCGCATGCTGATTTTATTTGAAGACTAAAGACAGCGGAAGAGAACAATGGCTGTCATTTTTAATACAAACGCACGCACACACAAGCTCAAACAAACTGAGGTATCTGATGTGCTGGCCAAAACAAACAAAAGGCACATACTTTTCTTCTAGTGCTCCCTCATCTTTCAGCCCATTTCTGTTTGTTGGTTTTTACATAAGTGCCAGAACAGAAACACTGATTACTGACAAAACAACATAAAACACCTCAGGAAATATAACCTCAGACATCAAAAATGTGTAATTGCATGTAATTGTAATTCAATCTGGGAGGAAAAGTCCTTTTTTTTTTTTCCATTTCACAATGAAATACAGAAAGCACCTAAAAAATGAGGTACACAATGAATATCTTGTCTTTCATAAAGAAAAAACAAACCCTAGCAAATAAAAATAACTGAGCACTGATCTGCACTGATTGATTTTGCCTCATTAAGACAGAATGTGACGACCTTCTCTGTACCTTTAAGGGCAAGTATTGATAACTCAGTATATCTCAACAAAGATGTGGGTTGATGACCATTAGATTCCAGGTTATTTGAAGGGTAGTTAAATAACTTCTGATGCACAACCAGTCATTTTGTCCTATAATCAGGCCTGAAATGTGACAGACTCCACTCTGATCAGAAAACACTACTCCTAGTAGGGTTTTAATAGGTAAAGACACCAACATTAGTAGAATACGCCTGACCTGCAGCTTAGAATGACATATCATAAACACGTTAGATAAAACAATACTTTTCCCTCCCAATAGCAAACACTACTTTTTTTTGCCTCACATGTCCTGATTTCCTCTCTTCACACAGTATCTATGAATAAAAGCAGAGCAGAAGGCGTCACAAAGGTAATCATCTGCCTGCTATGCTGGGACCGCAGGCTCCATTTGGCAGGAGCTGAGTGAATATATCTCATCGGCGGAGCAAGTTTGGACTTCCCATCGTGACTATAAACAACTTTAATGATCTTGAGCTTGCTGTGCGGCGCCTGGCCTCCCGTATACTCTGACTGTGGGCCTTAATACACAACTGTAGCATCCTGATAAAACAGCATGGAAACAAGGGGAAGAACCTGCTCCGAGTCGCTCAATCTGAGCTGGGAGGAGATAGGGTAGCGCACACTCACTGTCTGAGCAGGTTAAGGCACAGAAAGCTGAGGAGGAAGATCTAAATTGGATCTCTGCTCCTGGGCTGCTCCTACCCTGATGGAGAGGAGGAGAGCAGGCTGGGAAGAATAGAAGAAACAAGAAAAAAAAAGACCAGGAAGAAGAAAAGGTAATGCAGAGCAGGAAGAGTCTGACTCTGCAGCATCTTTTCTTTCTCCGCCACAGCGACACACAGGAGTGCACACAGAATGCACATAAACACACACAATAAAGGGGAAAAAACAGATAAGGCCAATAGAAAATCCTAGACAGCTGATAGGATCATTTAAGGGCTAGTAAATTAGAGGAGAACACTACAGTGAAGTAAGGATGTCAGACAGGGCACAAGAGCGACGAAAAGAAAAAGAAAAGATACAAAGCAGAGGACAGAATGAGTCAAAATGGAGAAAAAAGTGAAAATAAAGAGGACAAAAGGAGGACAAAACTGGAGGCAAAATATAAGAAGACAAGAACAGAAGAAGCAATATAAATAAAGAAATGGGAAAATATACTGAATAGATTTGAATAAATGACATGAGAAGAGAAACGACAAACGGAAGCCAACAAGAAAAGAGTAAAAGTAGAGACGAGAACCACTGCTGGGTAAAGGGGGAAAAGGAAAAAATCGAAATGTAGAAAATGCAAGAATGCATTAAAAGGGGAGAGAGGGCATAAAACAGAGAAAAGTGGAAGAGGCTAACCAAGGAAATTACAATGAAGAGCAGACAAAGGAAAGACAAAATAAGATAATAAAAGCCCGAGATTAACAGAAGAGATGAAAACAGGACATTAAAAAAATGAAAAGAAAGGGCAAATGATAAAGCAAAGAAAGCAAAATGAATAAAATGAAGATAAAAGAGAAAAAAAAACAGTAAAAGATGGTAAATTACAAAGAAGTTAAAAGAAGGCGAGAAGAAGAAAGAGGGACGAAGAAGGAGGCAGTAGGGAAGGGAATATTTAAAGGAAAGAAAAGATGAGAAGAGGAGAGAAGAAGTGAGGACAGAGGAGCAGAGATGTGAAGAGGCGGCATAGTTTCTGTTCAAGCAGGGGTTTGATTAGCTGCTGATCTTCCCGAGGGGCCCCGCAGCCTTTGCTAGAAGTAACCTTGTGCTCATGATCCAAGCCCCTTGAGATGCATGGACCCTGTCAGAGCCGAGGGGCCCTGAGCTAGCCTGCTGCACAGTCCTATAATTCTGAGCTGCATCTGCATTCAGGGGTCATTCATCACAAAGCGCACAGTCACAGGTATACCTGCCTGCGGCTCTGTGCCGTTGTATACTAAACTGCAATTTCTATAAGTGCACGATTCCTACTTTTAAATGTTTTCTGCTACTGCATCTATTCTCGGCATCTGCATTTAAATCCACTCCGACTTCTCCTGCCGGCACGTTAAACTCCGCTCTATAATGAAGTCTTCTAAACCTCCATCTCTACCTCACCTTGACCTTTATGTTTAAATCCCTTCTACTACTTTCAGCACTTTCTCTCTACACAGATTTCTTTTCACCGTACCTATAATTCAGAATGTTGTGTGTGTGTTTGGAGGGGTGGCGGGGATGTTTTCACTCAAAAAGCCGTCAGGATAATCAAGTCACGACTCTGTCTGAAGTATTTGGTTCCCACATGTAGCACGCAACAGGAGATGGTCTGCATCAGCGGGAATCTCACTAGTGGAAATATGCCCTTTGAGTTATTTGAGAGTGTGCAAGTAGCAGGATGCAACCCTTTGGTAACAGTAAAAACACTGAATCATTACCAATGGTCTCATATAGGCACAAATTGGTGCAATCTCACATCGCACAGACTGTGCAACAGAGCTAGCGAAGTCGCTATATCGAAGTCCACTGAGCGATGATCAAACTGAAATGGACGGTATCTGTCACGGCTGAAGTGCATGCATGTGCAAAAAAAACGGCTGTGCAGTCACTTGCCAGAGTACTCAAAACTGCCTTTAAGGTAGTTCCCGAATGAAATCTTTACCAGTTTTTATGCTGCACTCCAAATATGAACGAGTAAACTTGCTACCTTTATTTTCTGCTTGTGTTTTCTAAGATGAAGATTATGATTTTATTGTTACCCCCTAATTGTTTCATTATCTTCATGTCTGCAAACACTTTGCGTGAGAAGGTGTCAATTTTTTTTAATCAAATGAAGAATATCTCAATGTGGGAGGTAAGTACTGTCTTAATCAGCAGAACCGTATTCTTGTCTGCATGTATTTAACTCCTGGGTTAACTCAATTCATTTCCATTAGAATTCACAGGCTACCCACATAACCTGGAAATAACTGGTATAATGTGCTGTGTTACTCATTGGCAGCCCACATTCAACATCATCCAACCCTCGCACTGTCCCGGCAAATGCACACTGCATTGACCCTCATTAGATGTACTAGACCTGTAATGCACTTCAAACTCTTCTTCATAAGAGAGCTCAATTTGGCCTTCTTGGCTTGCTGAAAACTAATGAGATCTCCTTAAAAAAAAACATTCTTCAGAGCCAACATTGACGTGAAGCAGATGACGTGCAGTATATCTCTCCCTGAGCATAATCAAAAAAGCAGCCAAAAGACACAAGACTGAGCTCCCACTTGAGGGCAGATGAGTGACACGGGCAAACATAGATGGAACTTTCCTGCCTGCGGTAACCGTCAACCCAGACAAGAGAAGTAGATCTCTGGGGTTCTGTGTTGATTGCTTTAAGGAAAAGGTTGCGCTAACCTTGACGTTTCCTCCTATGAGGTCAGGCGGCTCCTCCTCAGTCTCCAAGGCGACGTTGATGGTGGCAAAAGGCCGGCTGGCCATCTGCTGCATCTCCCTCAGCAGTTGCTAAGAAAAAGGAAGGAGAGTAATGCGAAGGTCAGTGACAGATAAATAGCATCTACTGTCCATTCTCCAGACAACTGCCCATCAGGAGGTGGGCTTTTTTTTCATTTTTAAAAATGACTTTTCACGCACACAACCCAGCTAGCAGAAAACATTTAGATCGTTCACTGAAGTAAAAGAGTGAGAAGTCCACTTTGACCGCCATTAATTTAATTTGTATCCACTTGGTTGAACAGCCACGATCTGTGTACGTCTCTGTGTGTATTCTTTAGTTGTGTGAAGTTTGATTTCACACTCGGGGATCTTTTCGAACAGTGGTTCGTGTGTTTTGTTCAGTGAGCAAATTGTAGCCACGCCACCAACAACACAAAATTGGAAACTGTCAATCTAAACACTGTGGTGAAACATATGTACGACAGTAACAAATAACAGCTAACCCTAGCACTGCTCACCAAGCTGTGAGTATTTCACTATGGAGCTGAATTTAACCAGTACAGAGGTACTCATTTTCTTCCATGCAGTTAAATAAAGGTTAGCACAATGACTTTACGTTAAATCATTGAGGCCACTGTTGTTGTGATTTGGCGCTATACAAATTGAATTGAATTGAATCCTGGTAATCCATCCTACAGTCCTGCAAATCAATCAATGCGTGTTTGACTGATCTCCATTTATCTCATGGACATCTACCTGTGAGTGTGACACCTTTGAATTTGGCAGATAGTGTGGATTAAACCTTTATTGACTGTGACATCCACCTTAATGCTGACATGTCTGTGACAGCAGACACTGAATCAGGTTTTAAAGTTCATGTGACAAATATCTGAGAAGCTTATTTCAACATTAAGCAGGCAGGGAGACACATTAATCAATCACACACAAATACAAGAACAAGACTGACTTTGAGAGAAATACCTGCCTCTTTTAAATGCATCACTATTGCACCATCTGGTTTCTAACTGTAGTTGCCTGCTGCCTGGTGGATGGCCTGAACTTTTGTCCAGCGTGATTCTGTGTTTAATCAGAGTTGCAATCCATCGATTCATTTGTAAATAAATGTTTAAATTTAAAAATAAATGTTAAATCAGTGGATCCTTAAGTATGGAAAGAATTTATTACCCAGACCTGCAGGCTGGTTTGATCAATGACTTTTAATATTAAGAACTTTTCAACCCAAAGGCAGATTTTATAAAATCTTTAAACTGACATATAATGCAAGAAGCCTGTAGCCTAAACTATTTGTAAAGTTTGCCCGATTAGAAGGTTTCTAACAAGCTTTGTTATCCTTCAGTATGATTTATACGTAAAACCTGCAGAATACTGCAGGTAGTGAAAAGCATTTCTAAATTTCCCTGTATAGCTGTCAGAAGCACAAATTGTATGATGGTAGCCATCACTGACAAGTGGAATACCTTAAAAGTGCAGTTGAGGAACTTTTTCAGTAACGTTCCTCCACTGCAAAACAGAGGAACAGGCTCATTTTCTTCTGATTTATAGCATGGACCTTGGCCAAAGGGAAAGGAGGAGGGAGGTGATTATGAGGAATAGGAGGAGAAAAAGGACAAGAAACAGAAGCTAAAGAATGAGAGCAGACAAGGAAATAAGGAGGATTGCAATAAGAGGAAATAGGGAAGGTGAAAGATGGGAAGTGTAGCGGTGCGAAAGATGCAGAGTGTGAGCAGCAGAAAGGTAGGTCAAAGCAAGGAGAGATACAGATCAAGAGGTTGAGGAAAGCAAGAGACAACAGTAAACAAGGTGATGCACCCATGTCTTCGACTGTCAAAGCAGCCAAAGCGCTACGAGTGCAGAAACAAACGGCCTCGACTGTCAAGGAACCGGGACCTGAACCCAGGCAGCAAAACCAGTGAAAGAAAAACACCTGTAGCTGTCGTAAGAGCAGGAACAACATCGGCAGAAATGAGGCAAAATAATATTAATAATGATAAAAATAAAACATTTGTTTGAAATGTATTTGTTATATACAGGATATAATAAGTCAAACACCTACAACATAGCTTTGTGTGTGTGGAGTTAGAAGTTAGGCTTCTGTCTCATTACAGTGGGCTCTTGTCAAAAACAAACACAAAAGGTGCAAGTAAAGGGCAGGACTGAGATTCAACTAGAAAGCGCACACAGAGTAGAAATCACACATGGCGCTGGTGTGACAGGAGGATGCTGATCCTTCTGTGAACCCCTCAACAGCTTTCAATTAATATGCCGAGTGTTTTCATCCTCTCTGAGGATGTCGATTCTCGTTATTGGCATTGTTAGCGTTTTCTCCCTAAATGCGACGCCTTACAATGATATTCTTAACACGGGATACAGAAATTGCTTGAGGGAAAGTCTCTTTTTCTTTGTATAGTAAAGCCAAATGAAGAAAAACGGGCTCTAAATATAACGTCCTGGATTCTCTTTGTGGCGCAAGCCAGCTCATTAAATTCTCGTATGC